GGGGGGGGGGGGGGGGGGGGGGGGGGGGGGGGGGGGGGGGGGGGGGGGGGGGGGAGGAGGAGAGCTTTTGCAGAAAACATATTTGTAGGGTGGCAAATGCTGGACGTTTTGGTCAACACACAGTCCTCGGTCTTGCTTCTCGTATTGCGTGTCACCAGGCGTGTGGAAAGGCTAAGCAGCACGAGCGGGCTCTGTCCTTGCTGGAGGAGATGCGCTCCGAGGGCATGAATTTGCGAAGGACGGGGGAGAAGCTGTGGTGGGTTTTCAACACCTGCCGAGACAAGAAGGTCAAGGAGAGAGCGTGGGTGCTCATGGAAGTGGAACAGACGCGCGAACGCGTTAGGCAGAGAGCCGAGCGTAATGCTCAAAAGGCAGCTGCAGAAGAAGCAGAAGCAGCAGCAGCAGTGCCTTTGCGACGTACAGCCACCACTCCGACGGTTTGAGTGCCGTCTTTGATTACGGTGGTGCTTGGGATTGTTTCCTCGACCTACCTGCATTTGGTGTGTGCTCTGAGGCCTTGTGCCGACAGGAGTTTTGTTTCTGTTGCGGGGAACCACGCGCCCCGACGACTGCTGTAGTACATGTTTCTTGCTCGATTGGCTGTTGTCGGATCACGTGCTTCTTCCGCCAGGAGATCGAGATGAACGATACCAAGCGGATTTGTAGATACGGTTAAGGACTTTCTGGACGTTAACAAGATGTTGTACACGCTTCACGTGTCCTACACCCACGTCTCGGTCGTTTTTGTAGGGTACGATAGAGCTCTCCCGCAATTGGCCTCTTAGATAATTGTGTGACAACTTTTGAAGCGGGAGCTACATCACCAACCATCGAAGAAGTTGTGAACGCTGTGTGGACGTCGGCATTCGTAAAAGTAGTGTAGTGGGTCTTTCGAACTCTCTGGTGGCCCGTCACACAAGCATCATCCAAGACGGAAGCAAGGCATGAAGTGTGGTGCCCATTGACACCCTACATTTGTTTCCTCAGGGAGTCCCTTGCGTGCTACAGTACTCTTATGTCCCGCGTGTTCAAGCAGCAGCATCAGATACCTACGTGTGTAGTAGTCTATGTATTCTCAGCAGTAGTCTAACGCTCAGGCAGCCGGAAGGGGCGATGCAAACTCTGTACAACGTGTGTGCAGCTGGGTATATATGTAGATCCCCGACACAGAGCACGAAACATCAGAATGCTCGCACATTTGCGGATAATCTAGCTCGATGGTCATCGAGACATGGCGTTGGGGCATTTTCTTGCCTTTTAAGCACTTCAAGTACCACGTTTGTTTGCACGTGCGTATGGAGCTCACTCTCTTGGAGGAGCCTATTTTCTTCTCCCTGTATGTCGACCAACATTCCAAACACCAATATCACTCCGAACGGGAGACCCAGGACAAGGGGGCACACTCTGCTACCGCATGGTGCGAGGAAAGCACAGCACGAAGCGAGACATGCACCCACTCGCTTATGCAGCAGGTTGTGTGGAGTAGCCATTTTTTTTTTTTGCATGATGAGCAAATAAATATTTCCAACAATCCCTGAAATGCAAGGAAGTGCGTCGCCATCGTTCTATAAACCACAGCATCCATCTCGGCGAATGATCCCCGGGGCCCTCCTAAACAGTTAGTCGGACGATATCATTTGGTGCGCACGCATTTTTGAAGACAGAGGCGCAGAAAGTGACCGCGAAAACCTACACTATTTTTACGACGCAGCGGTGATGTAGGACCGTACGTGCGTAGAAGAACAAGAACCCATTCCCCGCTGTAAATTGCGGACCCCACTGCCCCCATCCTGGACAAGTACCATCCGCTGTGTTCTCCGATGGTTATATTGTACACAGCAGAGGTCCACCGCTGCTGCTGCGACTGCTGCGACTGCTGAGCACACTTTCTTAAGGGCCTCCCTGTTACTAGTCACCCGGAGCAAGGTGAACATGCCGGGGTTGCCTCCCTTGCAATTGAATATCTAAGCAGTGTTGCTATTTGAAATGCACAGCGCAGCAATTTTCTGGACTACAGCACTAAATACTGTATCCATACACAAGCAGTCTACTGCTGTAGCTTGTCACCCGGTTATACTGACTCTAGCTCATCGCTGTTTCGTAGGTGACAAGTCAATAATCACGGCCGCTGAGCACATGGAATTAATTCCCTATGCGGTAGATACGAAGTATGATGATTCTGGACTTCGCTCAAGAGCATTCGTGACCACGGGCCGAGAGTCTTTGCTAGATTTTGGCATTTAGCAACTGGCATACGGTTTAATGTGAAGTCAACAACAACAACAACAACAACAATTCGGAACTTTCAGCTGCAAGTATGCATACCAACATTTACTTGGGCCGCATGGAGATGCTAAATATGCGGAGCCGTTCCTTCCACTGCTGTGCATGCATTCGTTACGAACAAGTCCCTTGCCCCGTCCTCCGTCTCCAGATCTTCGTGCCGCAGCAAGGCGGTATCATCGACCCAAGGCCGAGAAGGTCGTGAAGTTGAGCATACTTAAGTATCCCAACGACCAAGAGGGAGTCGACGATCGACCGATAGTATTCCACCAAGGGCCGACAGGTTTCCACACGCTTTGGAAGCGTGTTTGATCGAGGCAGCAGATATCACCATCATCCGGTTGCTGTGCACCACTCGTCGCAACCTCAGCCTCCGATCAAAGAAAGCCGATAGGGGTATCCCCCCACGTGTCTTCACACCTTGCCGGAGCTTTCCTTGAATTTATCGCGCCGCCATGCCAACACAAGGGGCCACGGGCAACCACGGCGGTAAAGGTTTGGTGTCCGAAGCAGAACGGAATGGGTTCGTCGCGGCGGTCCTCGCTGGAGAACTCGAACCCGATTCTCATGTGATCGCGTATCACTTTTCAGGATGGCTGGACAAAGGTGCGAAGGGGAGATACGGTTTCGATATCGGGATGTCGAGGCGCGCAGCTTGCCCTAGTTGAAATGGGGGGTCGTACCACTGACTGACGTGTTGCTTTCATTCCCCAGATCGTCATCTGAGTATTGCACGGCACTCGGGGGGTTTTGCACTGCTTGAAAGGTGTCTCTGAGAGAAATGGCGGAGGAAAACCTGAACAGTGGAGTTTCATCGCAATATCGCTGTAGCACACCGCACAGCCACCCCGCGTTCATCGCGAAATCAACTCAGTTGGACGAGAGCTGGCTCTTTCCTCGTTCGAAGGCAAAACAACCGGGTTTCCATGAGGCCGCCAATAAAAGTGAAGGATGAATTCGCGATGGACTCATACGTACACCATCTTACGCGACTCCTTCATTTGTACTCATTTGCTCGAATCCGCCGAATGCTGGACGCCTGTCCATGGCCACATGCAGACGTCATGGACGCGGTTTTCGAAGTCAGCTCCGGCCCACGAGAGGTAGTGTTAGCGCTGGCAGGCATGTCCCCTTCCCCGGCTGTAGCTGTCAGCAGCAGCAGCAGCAGCAGTGAGGACAAGGGCCCTGGAAACGCATGCACGTCTTGTTCAATGTCACCACCAGCGCCACCATCATCGCCACCACCACCACCATCATCATCGCCACCACCGTCATCATCACCATGCTCCTCCTCCGCCTCCTCCTCCTCCTCCTCCTCCTCAGCAGCAGCAGCAGCCTCAGCCTCAGCAGCCTCAGCAGCCTCAGCATCATCATCATCAGCAGCAGCAGCAGCAGCATCAAGGGCAGCATCAAAGGCAGCAGCAGCACTAGATGACGCAATGGCGAGCGCCAACAAGAGGTACGCCAGAACGGTTGAAGCTATTCAGGCCCAAAGAGCGTCCTTTGCTCCGACGGTTATTCCTCCTTCGACATTGGTTGTTGACGAAGATGATGGCCTGCCCGAAGCAGAATCAACACCAGCACCGACCCCAGGCGCAGAGGAATCTGAGAAAGAAGAGATGGCTGCCGCTGCCAGCGACGACGTCGGAAGCACTACTGAGAACGTGAAACTGGAGAGCGTCGCCGCGTTCATCGCAAGCTACGCAGGTGTGTCCAGAACACTTTATACTTGTCGGGTTAGCCTGAACTCGCAGCAGGGTTACTGTGGGACAGCAGTTTGTCGGGTCGTTCCTTTTCATTTCACAACGCTGGCGGAGCCACAGTAGTTGCTGCAGCACTGCTGGTACACTTGTACCTGTTTCGTGCAGCTCAATGTTGAAGCCGCATTTCTCGCTAGCTGCCATGCAGGTGCCTAAGAACAAACCATTTTATCACAGCACCGTGCTCATCTGGGGAGGTGGCGAGCGACAAGGCCAACGCCCCCATCTACAATCCTGGTAGTAAAGGAGCCACAGACGTGCCGTGCCGCCACATTATACGGGCCGAACCTATGACTCGTTCGAAGAGAAGTAACGAGTTTCGGGACTGGTCTACACGCCTCTACATGCCTACTTTCCGTTGGGAAGGGAGAACCCACACCGATACACAAGATGTTGACGGCTGTTTCATTTTTCCCCCCTTGTACTCATTCTCGCTCCAAAACCCGAGTTATTTCGTACTTAGACCGATGTACGCAGTTTTGGAGGTTACTAGGGGTGTAGAGGGGATCATATGGTCTTGCGGCACTCACTGTTCGTTTCCCCTCGGAAACGGCTTCGGATGGCGTTGGCAGGATTGCAAGAAGCTGCGGCGAAGGCAAACCGCCTTCCCACCAAGCCTTCAGAGCCCCCGTTCTTGGTCCCTCGAGGGATGTATGTGGTGGGTTTGTCATGATGGATTGCTGTACAACTTGTGTTGCTGTGCCAAACGAACGCGTTGTGCCAAATCGGGGGATCGAGTTGTTTCGATCAATACAGCAGTGATTTTGTATGATCGCTGGCGGCGCAATTTCTCTTGCTCTAGTCTAAATCTTGTAGCTCCATTGGCAATGCCCTTCGCTTGAAACTTGTCTCACGTACAGAAAGTGAGTCTTCGCAGAGGTTGTCCGTTTCGAGTGCCTCTTGACACTTGGGAGATCTGCTTCCTCACCGTGATTTTGAAACGCCTTTGCTTTTAGAAAGTGATGTCGCGAGTGGGCACGCTGCTTCAAAAGCGGCCGATGGCCGCCTCAAATAGGCGGCGCTTTCATAAACTAATACAAATGGCAGTTATTTCTGTGGAAACATATATTGCCCTACGTATATTTGATTTGCAGCCGTCCACGAGGAAGATTCAGCTGGTGATCGCCCATACGGCGGAAAAGACGACAGAGGTGCCGGGATTCGAAGCATTCATGAAGGCGAGTGACCCCCAAGCGAAACACATTTATCCTCACCACTCTGTTGGGCTGGTAGACGAACCGTACACCGAAACCTATGTTAGACGTTGAGTTGTTGAACCCAAGTGGATGTGAGCCTGTTTTTTCGATTTTCTGAGACGGTTTTCCTATCGCCACCACCTTTTGGCGCTTTGGCCGTTGAATCGGTTCTCTCAGGGCCAGTTGAGCGTTGAGTGCATCACATACATATCCCATCCATGGCGTCGTCGCGACAGTGTGGTTGCAAAGCACGCCAGCTACGTCCGCACCCCGAGTGGTTGGACTGTCGTGAATCCCCCCGAAACTACCTCTGCCTTGCCTGTGCATGACGGCTGCTTCGATATTTGGTTTCCTTTTGGTGGCACATGGAACGCTTCCAGATGCAGCATGGGAAGGACGCCCTCTTCCGTTTCCTCGCGGCGGATCACGCCTTGCACAGGTACATATATGTATTTTGGACTAAGACGCAGCGATGTCACCGTCTTCATAATAGACTGGGCAGCGCGAACTCTCGCGACAGCATGGTATCAACAGCGTCGGTCTGGTGCGATAAGACGTTGTTGAGATTGTTGAACGGCAGTACACCATTGTGCCACCTGTTCCCCAAGAGCTGCGAGAGGCCCAAGCAGGTCATACAACGGCGGTTCGCCCTTGTGTTCGGTTTGTTTTAGCGCAGGAGTTGGTTGATCGGCGGCCACAGCTGTGGACTCGAACGTGCATGCCGAAGTAGTGTCCAGCAGGTGGTGATTTGTGAGCCATGGCCGATCTTCCAGCGATCCAAACGAAGTCAAAGTGTCGTTGTTGGACCGTGTTTTGAGCGAAGAGGAGCGAGCGGCCCACCCTAGGCCGCCGTGCGAGAGCATCCCGTGTTTCCCCCTTTAGAAACGAACAACGACGACAGCAAGAAACTCCCACCCCTATCGACTTTGCAACATCTCCTTTTTTGCGTCGGCAGCTACTACCTCTTGGCAAAGAAGCACGTTCAAGAAATCGTGATGAAGGGGGGGAAAGCAAAAGGCGCGTGCGCGGCCGCCGAGCCCTCCTCAGCTCCCGCGTCGACATTGAAAGCCCCCAATGACAAGACAGAGGACCCCGGTGAGCGAAATGGGACAGACACCACAGAAGGATGCGTTGTTAATTTTCTCGTAAAATCAAGTTTGCCTTGTTGGCAGGTTGAAGGTGGGCACGATACAGAAGTACCACTGTACGATCCCCGTAGTGTAACAGCTACAGCGACGGATCCTTCCGCGAGGACTTGGCATTCATTCTCTGGTAGCTTTCCAGCCTCTTAAGCATGTGCGGATGTTGTCGTGTGTCGCCTATGGTACATACTATGGCGATGTGAAGGCGTATAAAGGTCGAGTGCACTGCTACTGCTGCTGCTGCAGCAGACGCGAGCGTTTTACAGCAGATGTGGAGAAGGTGAATATCCCACGAAATATAAGCTGAACTCTACGCTTAAGGCTCGATCGATTTCAAGTACCCCGCGCCGAGAAAACCGTCCTTGTTCCCTCACCCGTACTCTCCGGAATTGTCGTTTGCCTAGCTCGCTTGGTTTGAACGTCGTCAAGTGTACTGCAGCCGATTCAATCCTACTACTGCAGTGGCATTTTTTTGCTGACACATGGGGTACGAGACCAGCTCGCTGGAAGGGCCCTACCCCTGACATCGCTCCAGCGTTTTCCTTCACCATCCTACCCTCGCGGTGACGATCAAATTATCAAAATGCCACAGACGTTGCGGAGATCATGCGCATGCTCGGCGGAGTCGGCCCATAGCGGAGCGCTTGTACGTGTGCGGCAAGAGCGTCACGTTGGAAGGGTGGAATGCCCTCACTGCCCTTCATTCCTGCAAGGTGATGGCACGGTTAAGTGACCACGTGAAGGTTGCTGTAGCAGACATATGTGCTTTTTCTTCCTGCGATTGATTTTTCTAGACCGTGAGAGGGCCCCGCCCAGCCCTACAGATGCGCGAGATCGGTATTTCCGGCTGATGATGATGTGTGTGCCGCACTTAAGGTGCACGTGCGCGTCACATCCAAAGCTGCGACCGCAAGCTAGCACTGCTGTGCCCCCAACTCCAACAAGATCCCGCTCGAAGTACCTCCAACCAAAACTGCCTCTGCCGCACCTGCTCCACCACCAACGGATGCGCAACAAAATTCCCGATGTTTAGCCAGCTAAACTATCACACCCTTTCAACCCCGCTAGCCGAGGGCACACCAGCTGATGCCACATGCCCCGCTGTTGCTGCTGCTCTTCCCCCCGCTGCTCTATGATTTCCTCCTCTTCCCCACCCCGCCCCCCCCTTCCTTCGTCCGTGGCTGTCGCACCCCTTGTGTCTCGTACAGCTTTAGGCCGCCACTCGCCGTCCTTCCCCTGTTGCTGTTGGCCCTCTCGTGCGTTGCTCGCCGAACAGGTTCCTATAGCGCCGGTACCCTGCGATTGGTCTGTGACGTTTGGTGGTCGCTTGGAGAGCACGATGGACACCTGGTGGTTTAGGTTTCGTGTCAGATACCGTAGCTTGGAAGGAGAGTTTTCTTATATGTTTTCGTGAATTCACAATCCTGCAAGGAGGAGTGTGGATGCGAACCGCTTTGAAAGTATGCGGATATGGTTTCATCCACGGCGCCCCCGGCTTGCCTCGCCCAAGTGTTTTTGCATCGGAGCGTGTCTCAACATAGCAATACATGGTTGAGGAGACCACCATCAGATTCCACCATATCGCGTAGTCGGCTCTCTCCGGCATGTATCTACGAAGGGCAGGGCTTTTTTGTCGAAGGTCCTGATGTTGATTCCCTGATTTTTATTAAGTTTCTCACCTTCGGGGCGGGGCGAGAACGCGAAATCCGAATCTTGAAGCCAGGCCGAGGTGTAAGGCGTTGGACGATAGAATTGCCGGAGGGAGGGCCAGTGCTGTTGCTGCCGCCGCTGTTGACACTACTCCTAGTGCTTGCTGTGCTCGCCATCTAAACCCGGGGGGGG